TACATGGGCCTCCCCAGGGTCTAGGAGTCATAGACGTGGGACTAGAAATTAGATGACATTGCTGCCTAAATAAAACACCACTACATGGAGATAGAACAGGGGAGCCCCTTGAATGTGGCAAGAGCACCCTCCCAGGCATGTTCCACCCTCATCTCGTGCTCATCAGGAGGGACACAGTTTTAAGTGGGTTGGAGGAATAGTTCAGAGGCTGAGATATTACACCCACAACTGAGAATCCCTTTCTAGTGCTCTGTGTCCTCACAAATCCCCAGAAATCATCCTCCCCTGGAGAGTTCCCAAAGCCCTTACAGACCCGCCCTCTCTGTGCTGTCCTGCCTGTGCCCCCTGGTGGACACCTCCATTCACTGCCTGCCCCGTGGGTTCTGTCCAAAGGTGGAATCTCTTATCAATGTGGATTTCTTTTTTTTTTTTTTTTTTTTTTTTTTTTTTGAGACGGAGTCTCGCTCTGCCGCCCAGGCTGGAGTGCAGTGGCCGGATCTCAGCTCACTGCAAGCTCCGCCTCCCGGGTTCACGCCATTCTCCTGCCTCAGCCTCCCGAGTAGCTGGGATTACAGGCGCCCGCCACCGCGCCCGGCTAGTTTTTTGTATTTTTTAGTAGAGACGGGGTTTCACCGTGTTAGCCAGGATGGTCTCGATCTCCTGACCTCGTGATCCGCCCGTCTCGGCCTCCCAAAGTGGATTCTAATGGGGGTAACTTCCTGCCTAAGGGAAGCCTCAGCCTCATCAGCAATGGCAGACACAGCCAGATATGTAGACATAGAGGAAGTGAGACAGAAAGTGTGGCCAGCCCAGAGAGCCTGCCCATATCATCCTAGGGCGACCAGGACAAGGAGGCCTCAGCAATCTTGCCAAGCAGATGTAGGAGTGACTTTCTCGAGCCTCATGGGCATGAGACCGTTGTGAGTGCTCAGGGTCTCTCCCTTAGAAAGGCACACATTTAATTCTCCGTTTTGAAATGTGAACTAGGACCCCCACAAATTATGCAGCCCCCACAAATTATTCTGTTCTGAAGGAATCATTCTTATCAGAAATTGGTGCTGGATTGACTTGGAGAAAAGCCTGACCATAACCTTCAGGATGAAATAAAGGCCTGAATGAATGGACACTTGAGTCTCTAAGCAGACTTGCGGAAGATAGGAGCCTTCGGCATTCAGAAGAGGAATGCAGACTGTGCAAGATCTGAGGCCAGTATCCAGCCTCCCAGGTTCAGGGAGCTCCCTGAACCCACTGTGGGTCCTTGCTAAAGTTGTCTTGCCCATGGGTGCTTTAGACAGCAGCACCTTTATTTCATGGGATAGATGAGAATTCTCAACAGAGCCTTTGCAAGAATCTGATCATCACATCTTGAGCTCAGCCTCCCTGTAGCTTTTTTTTTATGTTGACAGCCACTTCATAGAGAGTCCTCTGTGATCCTTACGAGAAATATCCTTGTGCAAAAAAAAAGGCCAAAACCACATAGTGAGCCTCCCCACTCCCTGTTTCAAGAAAGCTGGCTTAGCAATGTTGTCTGTTTTTTTTATGTATTGTGTTACCCATACGTGGGAAGAAAGAATTTTAAGAGTTAGCAAATAGGGTCACATCCAGCAGAGAACATGTGGTTGGGGACTAGGGCAATGGTGACTCTTCAGACCCCAGCTGCAGCCTGATAAACGTGGTTAACAGAGAAGGAGGAGGCAGTGACATGAAATGGGTGTTCACAGCCTTGTGTTGGGAATTGAATGAGAAACAAGAGCTTGAACTTGGATGTTCCCCAGAGTGAGCGCAGGGTCAGATGAGTTTTTCAAGATAGGAGTGATCGGTCTTTCCCAGGGTGGGGCCCATAATGAAAGGCAATGATAGATTAACGAACAGGTAATAAGTAACTGGAGGAGGGCACTCTGTCTTCAGTTACATGACGATTTGCTAGGTGGCTCATGACAAGGTAATTAAGACGAAGGAAACAAATGTAGCAGGCACAGCATGGGGTGGACAGTCAGCTGTTGATAGCCTCTGCTGAGATGGCCACAGGACTCCAGGTTTCCTTGCCGCAGCTGGCCACAGGACTGCTGCTCCTCCTCAGTGTCCAGCCCTGGGCTGAGAGTGGGAAGGTGCTGGTGGTGCCCACTGATGGCAGCCACTGGCTCAGCATGCGGGAGGCCGTGCGGGAGCTCCATGCCAGAGGCCATCAGGTGGTGGTCCTCACCCCAGAGGTGAATATGCACATCAAAGAAGATAACTTTTTCACCCTGACAACTTATGCTGTTCCGTGGACCCAGGATGAATTTGATCACTTTTTGCTGGGACACAGTCAATCGTTCTTCGAAACAGAACATCTTCTGATGAGATTTTCTAGAAGTATGGCAATTATGAACAATATATCTTTGATTATACATAGGTCTTGTGTGGAGCTACTGCATAATGAGGCCCTGATCAGGCACCTGAATGCTACTTCCTTTGATGTGGTTTTAACAGATCCCTTTCACCTCTGCGGGGCGGTGCTGGCTAAGTACCTATCGATTCCTACTGTGTTTTTTTTGAGGAACATTCTATGTGACTTAGACTTTAAGGGCACACAGTGTCCAAATCCTTACTCCTATATTCCTAAGTTTCTAACGACCAATTCAGACCACATGACATTCCTGCAAAGGGTCAAGAATATGCTCTACCCTCTGGCCCTGTCCTACATTTGCGATACTGTTTCTGTTCCTTATGCAAGCCTTGCCTCTGAGCTTTTTCAGAGAGAGGTGTCAGTGGTGGATCTTCTCAGCCATGCATCCGTGTGGCTGTTCCGATCAGACTTTGTGATGGACTACCCCAGGCCAATCATGCCCAACATGGTCTTCATTGGAGGCATCAACTGTGCCAACAGGAAGCCACTATCTCAGGTCTGTATTGGTGCCTTCATCCAATCAATGTTCCAAGCAAAACACTTTTAAAAAAATGTATTTACTTACGAGCATCTTCGTATCTACTTATCTTTCCAAAGATTTCATTTCTGCTTCTCATTATTGTAATAGTCTTCAGTAAGATAAACTTTTAAAGGATCAGTGGTAGTGCAGTTCAGGCTTTCAATGACCACTGAGAGGAAGAAGAGGCAGGGACGAGGATCTGTCAAAGGATGGTCAAGGAGTGATGTGACTCACAGAGACTGTTCATTTGTAAAGGCGTCGTCTTCGTGGTTGTGGATGTGCCTCATCTGGGCAGGAGCAGGGACACTACATTGAGAACTAATCCATCCAAATCTTGCTGCAAGGTTTTCAGTAGAAACGATGAAGGAATAGCAGTTTACAACTGTTGACGTGATAATTTTTAGTGGTCCCGTCTTGCAAAAGACAGAGAGCTGACCACAGGAGACGTAAGCACTCAGAGGAAGTAGAAGTTTCAAAGAGGTTGACTCAGTTCAGTGGAATTGGGTCAATGTAGGTACAATGAATGTCTGTGATCAGAAAATGAAACACAGAGTTCAGTTTCCAGAGAGGGAATTTTGGATTATAATAGGAGAATGTTTCTTGTGAAGACGCTACTTAAAAAAAATTCTTAATAGGTTAACTTCATGATCTAATGGAGAATTGTCCAATAGAAAGATCATGTAAACCACATACGTAATTTAAACTTTTCTAGTGGGCATGTTAGAAACCAGAAAAAAAGACGCCACCGAAATTAATTTGAATAATGCATTTTATTTAACCAGATGTATCCCAAATATTATCCTTTCAACATGTGTTCAATATTAAATTAATATTATATATAGGTTTTTTGTTGTTAAGTCTTCAAAATCTAGCATATATTTGCCACTTACAGCATATCTCCATTTGGAATAGCCACATTTCAAGTGCTCAATAGTCATATGTAGTTAGTGACCACAATATGGTCAATGTTTATAAATGTTCCATGGACAAAACTAAAATTCTGTCTTTTCAATTTTTCTATCTTTTTTTTTTTCTTTTGAGATAGGGTCTCACTCTGTCACCCAGTCTGGAGTGCAGTGGTGGGATCTCAGCTCATTGCAATCTCTACCTCCCAGGTTCAACCGATTCTTCTGCCTCAGCCTCCCAAGTACCTGGAACTACAGGTGCATGGGACCACATCCAGCTAATTTTTTTTTTTTTGTATTTTTTATGGAGATGGAGTTTTATCATGTTGGCCAGGCTGATCTCGAATGCCTGATCTCAAGTGATTCACTCTCCTCGGCCTCCCAAAGTGCTGGGATTACAGGCATCAGCCACCACACCTAGGCAATTTTTCTATCTTTTAAAAGACCCGCTACTGAATCTGCCCAATTCTGTGAAGGAGGTCTTAAAAAAAATCCCCATATATAACAAATTCTACTCAAGTTACAGTTTGGTTCTTAGTTTTTGCTTTATACATAGTGATTAGATTGGTGAATATAGGTTTGAGACTTGTATTTTCTTCACGTAGTTTGCTGTTATCATTAAATAATAATCCTCAAAATACATTTTATCTGATATCAGTATTGCTACTCCTATGTTATTTTTTGAATCCCCATCTCTTTTAATTTGAAAATAATTTGTGTGCAAGTGGGTGGCTCACTCCTGTGATTTCCACCCTTTGGGAGACCGAGGAGGATTGTTTGAGCCCAGGAGTCTGAGAGCAGCCTGGGCAACATGCTGAGACTCCATCTCTACAAAAAAATAAAAAAATTATCCAGTTGTGTTGGCGCACACTTGTGGTCCCAGCTACTCAGGAGGCCGAGGCAGGAGGATCACTTGATCCCAGGAGGTGGAGGCTGCAGGAGGTGAAGGTATGCCATGTTCACTCCACCTCACTCCAGCCTGGGTGACAGAGCGAGGCCCCATCTCAAAAAAAAAAAAATAAAAATTTATTTGGAATGTGAAAATCTTGTTTTAAAGTTTAGAAAACATTTTTATAAATTCCAATATGAAAAGCTGGGTACAGTGGCATGTGCCTGTGGTCCCAGCAACTTGGGAGGCTCAGGTGAGAGGATCATTGAGCTCAGGAGTTTCAGCTCCTGTGGTTTGTTGATTGACTGATTGATTGAAAACATAAGAAAACCCAAAATGACTTTAATCTGATAATTTCTTTTGATGTCAGCATTCTGATTCTTCCATAATTGTATTCTTTCCATTCAGTGTAAGCTCATTCCTTTAACAGAAATTTCCTTTTTCCTTCTTAATTTTGGAATTCCATGGCACTTTTCCATTTCCATGGAGACGCAGTGCAGCATCCTCAAATCTCCAATTCTTACATCTGTCTCTTTCACTTGTAAGAGCCCTTGTGATTATATTGTCCCACCCAGACATGCAGGATAATCTCCCCATGTCAAAACCCTTAATTAAATCACATCTGTAAAGTTTCTTCCACCTGTAATGGAACATATTCCCAGGTTTGAGCAACTACAGTGTAGATACTTTTGCGGGGCTGTGATTCTGCCTACCGCAGACACTAAGCTTAAAGTGAAACCCACATCTTATTCAAAGCTTGGAGGTTTTCCTCTATTTGGCCATTTAAATTTAATTTTTGTTCCTGTCCTCCATAGTCTTCTATTCTCCAGGCTTCAGAGCTATCAGCTTACCATTCAATTATCTCCTTTTCTCCTTATCTTCCTTTTTTTTATTTTTAAAAAACAATACTTTCAAAGAGCAAAAATTTTAGAATTTGATGAGGTTTATTCTAGTGAAGTTTTTATCGTTTGTACTTTTTGTACCCTAAGGATGCTTTGTCTACCTCAAGATATAGTTTTTTTGTTCTCTTAAAAACATTAAAGGATTCCAGTTTGTATGTTTAGCTCTGTGAGATTGGCAGAGGGGAACTGGATCACTCGGGTCAGGTTTTCGGGATGCCTTTTTCTGTCTCTGGACTTTGCTGGGGTGACCTCACTGACACCCATGGCTTCAACTACCACATATGCTGATGGCTCCAAGTCTATCTGTGCAGCCCGGACCCCTCTTCATCTCCAGACCCTGGAAGCTGATGCCCTGGGCAGCTCCTCCTATTTCCCAGGCACCAGGAATGTGAGCTTCTCCCTCCCCACAGTGCCCCTCTCCTCAGGGTCCCCATGTCTCTGAAGGCACCACCATCTTCCAAGATACAAGGGCCTCCCCAGGGTCTAGGAGTGCCAGACATGTAACTAGAAATGAGATGGCATCACTGTCTAAATAAAACACCACTAGATGGAGATAGAACAGGGGAGCCCCTTGAATGTGGCAAGAGCACCCTCCCAGGCATGTTCCACCCTCATCCCGGGCTCATCAGGAGGGTGCTTAGGAGGCACACAGTTTTAAGGGGGTTGGAGGAATAGTTCAGAGGCTGAGATGTTGCACCCACAGCTGAGAATCCCTTTCTAGTGCTCTGTGTCCTCACAAATCCCCAGAAATCATCCTCCCCTGGAGAGTTCCCAAAGCCCTTGCAGACCTGCCTTGTCTGTGCTGTCCTGCCTGTGCCCCCTGGTGGACACCTCCATTCACTGCCTGTCCCGTGGGTTCTGTCCAAAGGTGGAATCTGTTATCAATGTGGATTTATAATGGGGGTAACTTCCTCCCTAAGGGAAGCCTCAGTCTCACCAGCAATGGCAGACACAGCCAGGCATGTAGACACAGAGGAAGTGAGACAGAAAGTGTGCACAGCCCAGAGAGCCTGCCTACATCATCCTGTGGTGACCAGGACAAGAAGGCCTCAGCAATCTTGCCAAGCAGATGTAGGAGTGACTTTCTCGAGCCTCATGGGCTTGAGACTGTTGTGAGCGCTCAGGGTCTCTCCCTTAGAAAGGCGCACATTTAATTCTCCGTTTTGAAATGTGAACTAGGACCCCCACAAATTATGCAGCCCCCACAAATTATTCTGTTCTGAAGGAACCATTCTTATCAGAAATTGGTGCTGGATTGACTTGGAGAAAAGCCTGACCATAACCTTCAGGATGAAATAAAAGCCTGGGTGAATGGACACTTTAGCAGACTTGCGGAAGATTGGGGCCTTCGGCATTCAGAAGAGGAATGCAGACTGTGCAAGATCTGAGGCCAGGATCCAGCCTCCCAGGTTCAGGGAGCTCCCTGGGTCCTTGCTAAAGTTGTCTTGCCCATGGGTGCTTTAGACAGCAGCACCTTTATTTCATGGGATAGATGGAGAATTCTCAACAGAGCCTTCACAAGAATCTGATCATCACATCTTGAGCTCAGCCTCCCTGTAGCTTTTTTTTATGGTGCCAGCCACTTCGTAGAGAGTCCTCTGTGATCCTTACAAGAAATATCCTTTTGCAAAAAAAGACCAAAACCACATAGTGAGCCTCCCCACTCCCTGTTTCAAGAAAGCTGGCTTAGCAATGTTGTCTGTTTCTTGGATGTGCTGTGTTACCCATACGTGGGAAGAAAGAGTTTTAAGAGTTAGCAAATAGGGTCACATCCAGCAGAGAACATGTGGTTGGGGACTAGGGCAATGGTGACTCCTCAGACCTCAGCTCTAGCCTGATAAACGTGGTTAACAGAGAAGTAGGAGGCAGTGACATGAAATGGGTGTTCACAGCCTTGTGTTGGGAATTGAATGAGAAACAAGAGCTTGAACTTGGATGTTCCCCAGAGTGAGCGCAGGGTCAGATGAGTTTTTCAAGATAGGGGTGATTGGTCTTTCCCAGGGTGGGGCCATAATGAAAGGCAATGATAGATTAAACGGTAATAAGTTACTAGAGGAGGGCACCCTGTCTTCAGTTACATGATGATTTGCTAGGTGGCTCATGACAAGGTAATTAAGACGAAGGAAACAAAGGTAGGAGGCACAGCCTGGGCTGGACAGCCAGCTGCTGATAGCTTCTGCTGAGATGGCCACAGGACTCCAGGTGTCCTTGCCGCAGCTGGCCACAGGACTGCTGCTCCTCCTCAGTGTCCAGCCCTGGGCTGAGAGTGGGAAGATGCTGGTGGTGCCCGCTGATGGCAGCCACTGGCTCAGCATGCGGGAGGCCGTGCGGGAGATCCATGCCAGAGGCCACCAGGCGGTGGTCCTCACCCCGGAGGTGAAAATGCACATCAAAGAAGAGAACTTTTTCACCCTGACAACCTATGCCATTTCATGGACCCAGGGCGAATATGATCACCTTTTGCTGGGACACACTCAATTGTTCTTCGAAACAGAACATCTTCTGATGAGATTTTCTAGAAGTATAGCAGTTATGAACAATATGTCTTTGATTATACATAGGTCTTGTGTGGAGCTACTGCATAATGAGGCCCTGATCAGGCACCTGAATGCTACTTCCTTTGATGTGGTCTTAACAGACCCCTTTTACCTCTGCGGGGCGGTGCTGGCTAAGTATCTGTCGATTCCTGCTGTGTTTTTTTTTGAGGAACATTCCATGTGACTTAGACTTTAAGGGCACACAGTGTCCAAATCCTTACTCCTATATTCCTAAGTTCCTAACGACCAATTCAGACCACATGACATTCCTGCAAAGGGTCAAGAACATGCTCTATCCTCTGGCCCTGTCCTACATTTGCGATACTGTTTCTGTTCCTTATGCAAGCCTTGCCTCTGAGCTTTTTCAGAGAGAGGTGTCAGTGGTGGATCTTCTCAGCCATGCATCCGTGTGGCTGTTCCGATCGGACTTTGTGATGGACTACCCCAGGCCGATCATGCCCAACATGGTCTTCATTGGAGGCATCAACTGTGCCAACAGGAAGCCACTATCTCAGGTCTGTATGGTGCGTTCATCCAATCAATGTTCCAGGCAAAACACTTTTTAAAAAATGTATTTACTTACGAGCATCTTCGTATCTACTTATCTTTCCAAAGATTTCATTTCTGCTTCTCATTGTTGTAATAGTCTTCAGTGAGATAAACTTTTAAAGGATCAGTGGTAGTGCAGTTCAGGCTTTCAATGACCACTGAGAGGAAGAAGAGGCAGGGACGAGGATCTGTCAAAGGATGGTCAAGGAGTGATGTGACTCACAGAGACTGTTCATTTGTAAAGGCGTCGTCTTCGTGGTTGTGGATGTGCCTCATCTGGGCAGGAGCAGGGATACTACATTGAGAACTAATCCATCCAAATCTTGCTGCAAGGTTTTCAGTAGAAACGATGAGGGAATAGCAATGTACAATTGTTGACGTGATAATTTTTAGTGGTCCCGTCTTGCAAAAGACAGAGAGGTGACCACAGGAGACGTAAGTACTCAGAGGAAGTAGAAGTTTCAAAGAGGTTGACTCAGTTCAGTTGAATTGGGTCAATGCAGGTGCAATGGATGTCTGTGATCAGAGAATGAAACACAGAGTTCAGTTTCCAGAGAGGGAATTTTGGATTATAATAGGAGAATGTTTCTTGTGAAGACGCTACTTAAAAAAAATTCTTAATAGGTTAACTTCATGGTCTAATAGAGAATTGTCCAATAGAAAGATCATGTAAACCACATACGTAATTTAAACTTTTCTAGTGGGCATGTTAGAAACCAGAAAAAAAGAAGCCACCGAAATTAATTTGAATAATGCATTTTATTTAACCAGATGTATCCCAAATATTATCCTTTCAACATGTGTTCAATATTAAATTAATATTATATATAGTTTTTTTGTTGTTAAGTCTTCAAAATCTAGCATATATTTGCCACTTACAGCATATCTCCATTTGGAATAGCCACATTTCAAGTGCTCAATAGTCATATGTAGTTAGTGACCACAATATGGTCAATGTTTATAAATGTTCCGTGGACAAAACTAAAATTCAGTCTTTTCAATTTTTCTATCTTTTTTTGTTTTTCTTTTGAGTTGGGGTCTCACTCTGTCACCCAGTCTGGAGTGCAGTGGTGGGATCTCAGCTCATTGCAATCTCTACCTCCCAAGTTCAACCGATTCTTCTGCCTCAGCCTCCCAAGTAGCTGGAACTACAGGTGCATGGCACCACGTCCAGCTAATTTTTTTTTTTTGTATTTTTTATGGAGATGGAGTTTCATCAGGTTGGCCAGGCTGATCTCAAATGCCTGATCTCAAGTGATTCATTCGCCTCAGCCTCCCAAAATGCTGGGATTTCAGGCATCAGCCACCACATCTAGGCAATTTTCCTATCTTTTAAAAGACCCGCTACTGAATCTGCCCAATTCTGTGAAGGAGGTCTTAAAAAAAATCCCCATATATAACAAATTCTACTCAAGTTACAGTTTGGTTCTTAAATAGTTTTTGCTTTATACATAGTGATTAGATTGGTGAATATAGGTTTGAGACTTGTATTTTCTTCACATAGTTTGCTGTTATCATTAAATAATAATCCTTAAAATACATTTTCTCTGATACCAGTATTGCTATTCCTATGTTATTTTTTGAATCCCCATCTCTTTTAATTTGAAAATAATTTGTGTGCAAGTGGGTGGCTCACTCCTGTGATTTCCACCCTTTGGGAGACCGAGGGAGGGGGATTTCTTGAGCCCAGGAGTCTGAGAGCAGCCTGGGCAACATGCTGAGACTCCATCTCTACAAAAAAATAAAAAAATTATCCAGTTGTGTTGGCGCACATTTGTGGTCCCAGCTACTCGGGAGGCCGAGGCAGGAGGATCACTTGATCCCAGGAGGTGGAGGCTGCAGGAGGTGAAGGTATGCCATGTTCACTCCACCTCACTCCAGCCTGGGTGACAGAGCGAGGCCCCATCTCAAAAAAAAAATAAAAATTTATTTGGAATGTGAAAATCTTGTTTTAAAGTTTAGAAAACATTTTTTTAAATTCCAATATGAAAAGCTGGGTGCAGCGGCATGTGCCTGTGGTCCCAGCAACTTGGGAGGCTCAGGTGAGAGGATCATTGAGCTCAGGAGTTTCAGCTCCTGTGGTTTGTTGATTGACTGATTGATTGAAAACACACGAAAACCCAAAATGACTTTAATCTGATAATTTCTTTTAATGTCAGCATTCTGATTCTGTACATAATTGTGTTCTTTCCATTGAGTGTAAGCTCAATCCTTTAACAGAAATTTCCTTTTTCCTTCTTAATTTTGGAATTCCACAGCACTTTTCCATTTCCATGGAGACGCAGTGCAGCATCTTCAAGTCTCCAACTCTTACATCTGTCTCTTTCACTTGTAAGAGCCCTTGTGATTATATTGTCCCACCAGACATCCAGGATAATCTCCCCATGTCAAAACCCTTACTTAAATCACATCTGTAAAGTTTCTTCCACCTGTAATGGAACATATTCCCAGGTTTGAGCAACTACAGTGTAGATACTTTTGCGGGGCTGTGATTCTGCCTACCGCAGACACTAAGCTTAAAGTGAAATCCACATCTTATTCAAAGCTTGGAGGTTTTCCTCTATTTGGCCATTTAAATTTAATTTTTGTTCCTGTCCTCCATAGTCTTCTATTCTCCAGGCTTCAGAGCTATCAGCTTACCATTCAATTATCTCCCTTTCTCCTTATCTTCCTTTTTTTTTTATTTTTAAAAAACAATACTTTCAAAGAGCAAAAATTTTAGAATTTGATGAGGTTTATTCTAGTGAAGTTTTTATCGTTTGTACTTTTTGTACCCTAAGGATGCTTTGTCTACCTCAAGATATAGTTTTTATGTTCTCTTAAAAACATTAAAGGATTCCAGTTTGTATGTTTAGCTCTGTGAGATTGGCAGAGGGGAACTGGATCACTCAGGTCCGGCTTTTGGGATGCCTTTTTCTGTCTCTGGACTTTGCTGGGGTGACCTCACTGACACCCATGGCTTCAACCACCACATATGCTGATGGCTCCAAGTCTATCTGTGCAGCCCAGACCCCTCTTCATCTCCAGACCCTGGAAGCTGATGCCCTGGGCAGCTCCTCCTATTTCCCAGGCACCAGGAATGTGAGCTTCTCCCTCCCCACAGTCCTGCTCTCCCCAGCGCTCCCATGTCTCTGAAGGCACCACCATCTTCCAAGATACAAGGGCCTCCCCAGGGTCTAGGAGTGCCAGACATGTAACTAGAAATGAGATGGCATCACTGTCTAAATAAAACACCACTAGATGGAGATAGAACAGGGGAGCCCCTTGAATGTGGCAAGAGCACCCTCCCAGGCATGTTCTACCCTCATCCTGGGCTCATCAGGAGGGTGCTTAGGAGGCACACAGTTTTAAGGGGGTTGGAGGAATAGTTCAGAGGCTGAGATGTTGCACCCACAGCTGAGAATCCCTTTGTAGCGCTGTGTGTCCTCACAAATCCCCAGAAGTCGTTCTCCCTTGGGGAGTCATCAAGCCCTTACAGACCTGCCCTCTGTGTGCCATCCTGCATATGCCACCCTTGAGCTAGGTGTCCCTCTGATGGACACATCTATTCACTGCCTGTCCCATGGGTTTTGTCCAAAGGTGGAATCTGTTATTAATGTGGACTTCTAATGGGGGTAACTTCCTGCCTAAGGGAAGCCTCAGCCTCACCAGCAATGGCAGACACAGCCAGGCATGTAGACACAGAGGAAGTGCGATGGAAAGTGTGCCCAGCCCAGAGAGCCTGCCCACATCATCCTGGGGTGACCAGGACGAGGAAGCATCAGCAATCTTGCGAGCACACGAAGGAGTGACTTTCTGGAGCGGGACGAGCCTCATGGGCATGAGACCGTTGTGAGTGCTCAGGGTCCCTCCCTTAGAAAGGCACACATTTAATTCTCCACCTTGAAATTTGACCTAGGGACCCCACAAATTCTGCAGCCCATTCTGTTCTGGAGGAACCATTCTTATCAGAACTTGGTGCTGGATTGACTTGGAGAAAAGCCTGATCATAACCTTCAGGATGAAATAAAGGCCTGGGTGAATGGACACTTTAGTCTCTAAGCAGACTTGCAGAAGACTGGAGCCTTCAGCATTCAGAAGAGGAATTCAGACTGTGCAAGATCTGAGGCCAGGCTCCAACTCCCCCTGGTCCCTTGGTGAGCAGGGAGCTCCCTGAACCCCTGTGGGTCCTTGCTAGGGTTGTCTTTCCCATGTGTGCTTTAGACAGCAGCACGTCTTATCCCATGGGATAGATGGAGAATTCTCAACAAAACCTTCCCAAGAATCCGATCATCACATCTTGAGCTCAGCCTTCCTGTAGCTTTTTAAAATATTGCCAGCCACTTCAGAGAGAGTCCTCTTTCATCCTTGCAAGAAACATCCTTGTGTGAAAAAAGACCAAGACCAGATAGCCAGCCTCCCCAGTCCCTGCTAGAGAAAGCTGGCTTAGCAATGTTGTACCTTTTTTGGATGTGCTGTGTTACTCATATATGAGAAGAAAGAGTTTTAAGAGTTAGCAAATAGGGTCACATCCAGCAGAGAACATTTGGTTGGGGACTAGGGCAGTGGTGGCTCCTCAGACCTCAGCTGCAGCCTGATAAACGTGGTTAACAGAGAAGTAGGAGGCAGTGACATGAAATGGGTGTTCACAGCCTTGTGTTGGGAATTGAATGAGAAACAAGAGCTTGAACTTGGATGTTCCCCAGAGTGAGCACAGGGTCAGATGAGTTTTTCAAGATAGGAGTGATCGGTCTTTCCCAGGGTGGGGCCCATAATGAAAGGCAATGATAGATTAACGAACAGGTAATAAGTAACTGGAGGAGGGCACTCTGTCTTCCAATTACATGATGATTTGCTAGGTGGCTCAGTGACAAGGTAATTAAGGTGAAGGAAACAAATGTAGCAGGCACAGCGTGGGGTGGACAGCCAGCTGCTGATGGCTTCTGCTGAGATGGCCACAGGACTCCAGGTTCCCCTGCCGCAGCTGGCCACAGGACTGCTGCTCCTCCTCAGTGTCCAGCCCTGGGCTGAGAGTGGGAAGGTGCTGGTGGTGCCCACTGATGGCAGCCACTGGCTCAGCATGCGGGAGGCCGTGCGGGAGCTCCATGCCAGAGGCCACCAGGCGGTGGTCCTCACCCCGGAGGTGAAAATGCACATCAAAGAAGAGAACTTTTTCACTCTGACAACCTATGCCATTCCATGGACCCAGGATGAATTTGATCGTCTTGTGCTGGGCCACACTCAATGGTTCTTTGAAACAGAACATCTTCTGAAGAGATATTCTAGAAGTATGGCAATTATGAACAATATGTCTTTGGTCTTTCATAGGTCTTGTGTGGAGCTACTGCATAATGAGGCCCTGATCAGGCACCTGAATGCTACTTCCTTTGATGTGCTGTTAACAGACCCGGTTAACCTCTGTGGGGCGGTGCTAGCTAAGTACCTGTCAATTCCTACTGTGTTTTTTTTGAGGAACATTCCATGTGACTTAGACTTTAAGGGCACACAGTGTCCAAATCCTTACTCCTATATTCCTAAGTTATTAACAACCAATTCAGATCACATGACATTCCTGCAAAGGGTCAAGAACATGCTCTACCCTCTGGCCCTGTCCTACATTTGCCATGCTGTTTCTGCCCCTTATGCAAGCCTTGCCTCTGAGCTTTTTGAGAGAGAGGTGTCGGTGGTGGATCTTCTCAGCCATGCATCCGTGTGGCTGTTCCGATCGGACTTTGTGATGGACTACCCCAGGCCGATCATGCCCAACATGATCTTCATTGGGGGCATCAACTGTGCCAACAGGAAGCCACTATCTCGGGTCTGTATTGGTGCCTTCATCTAATCAATGTTCCAGGCAAAACACTTTTTAAAAAATGTATTTACTTACAAGTGCTTCCATATCTACTTATCTTTCTAAAGATTTTATTTTTGCTTCTTTGTCGTAACAGTCTTCAGTGAGACAAACTGTTAAGTGGTCTCTAGTAGTGTATTTCAGGTTTTCAGTGGTCACTGAGAGGAAGAAGAGGTACGGATAAGGGTCTATCAAAGGATGGGCAAGGACTGCTGTGACT